AGAGTAGATGAGTCAGAGTGAACTGAGTGCTACAAGTGCTCGTGAGATTTTCCAAAGTGACACGATTTCCATTCATACTCAACTTGTGCTAATTATCAGTCTAACTTCTGCACCAAACTGCAAATAATATAACTCAGCTTTTCGTCTCTGAAGTGTTGCTCAACATTTCCCAGGAAAATATCAGTTAAAAGATTCAGTGAAACACTATTTCTCAATTTTGAATTTAGGCCAATGTTCAAATCAATGTAGCTTCACGGATGATCTGTTTTGTGTTACCTGGACATAAAACCATGAAATGAATTAGATTAAACACCAATTTAAAAGTTCTCATCGAGTTTCCCATTATCGTTTATACTCATACCTCTCAAGCTCTTCTTGCTCTTTTCCTCGCTGCCTATCCTGTTCCTTAAAAGAGAAAAATAAACCAAAGACTTCTATTTGACATTTGTATGCGAAAATACACGTGAAAGTAAGAGGTTGCTGGATTTTCCTTTTGACCTTCCCTGCTCACGCTCACGGTTTTCTATTTACGTCCTTACAGTTCAACTTATCAGTCGATACTTAATTTTGGTGACTACAATTATCGCCAAATATGAGAAGTGGGTAGACATTATTCAAAAAAAATCTCTTCGTTGCTTATGAGGTGGTGGAATAATAAACAAAGAAGAGTAGCCTCTTCCGTCATGAAAAATTTGATTCCTGTACTTTTAATCCATACCCGACGAATCAAAAGGTGTGTGACTATCCATAATCACCGCAGAAAAAGGGACTTAAGTTCGAAAATCAAAAGCAGTAAAGGAGCAGTAAAGGGTCAGAAAGCTGTTCCAAAATAATTTGTCCTGTGCGTAGCCAAAACATCCCATGAATTGTGAATACACAATAATCTATATTTGGCGCGAAAATGTTCTTGAATATTTCACCTTGAACATTTTCTGTTTATCGGAGCTATCAGTGTTCCTTGAGCTTGGCTCTCGGAAAACCACCCACATTAAAAAGCTTCTCCATTATAATTTTCTTCGCTTTTACATTAGTTAAGTAACAACCTAAGCCCATATATACTAAGATACTCACATTAATTCGGGTCTGTACCCTCGTGTTTTGATCTTTGATGAAGATATAAACGTATAAAAGATATAAAGCTGCATTTATGAGAAATGATAATGACGATAGCAACAACATTTAGATTGATATTTATCAGATATAATTATCTACTGATGTGTTCTTAGTGTAACTAATTAAATTCAAACGTTCAATGTTTTCCTAGAAGGTACAGACAAATTTGTTTTCTTGCCCTTTTCACCTCTCATAATTTCTCAAACTAATAATCAATTTGACCAGCTTAAACTGGAAAAAGAACACAAGAAAGCAGTAGCCAGGGAAGACCAGAATGCTAAGGTAAATGTTGAAATGACTACCCTTGGCGTCGTGTCCATGCTCTGTTATCTGCACCACGCTAGGTCGATCCTCCTAAGGAGATCTCCCAGAGCTCAAAACAGAATTTGATCCTCCCATGTTTTATGATGCGATTATCGTACTCATGAGTCAGAAGAATTAGCAAAAAATGGTTCCGAGATCTTTTTAGTTTAGACCCTGCTGACGAATTTAACCTTAGTGACCAAGGCTACTATAATCTTGAACGGCAAAATCGTGCGATGGAGGAATTCGTAAATCAGCAGCAGAAAAATCGTTATCGAGAAAAAAAGGTCCCCTTTCATGTATTTTTTTTTTCATGCATGCCTTCGAGATTGTTATCGAAGTAAATAAACGTGAAAGTGCTGGCAGATTGTATTCATTAGAGCAACACTCAAGGGAAGAGCTCAACAGATTGTGTGTAGCTGCATGTACCTAAACCCAGAAGGATGCTGAATCTGTAGGCGTTTCAATTCTGTTCGATTGCACCAACATCCTCAAAACTACCGGCTATCTCAACAAGATTTAAAGCCCCAACAACATAGGAAATGTTATAAAAAGACTGCCTGACTGGTGAGACAACGATGATCGTATTCTTGATAAAGTAGGAAGAGTGCGTCGTGTAGGTTTTTTAATTAGTCCCGTCTGCGAACGTTTTGATTTCGTTTAAAAGAAAAGCCTGTGTTTCTTGTGTTTCAGAAAAAGACACCAATCGATGGGATGCCGCAAGGAGAAGCCCTGTGCACAATGTAATCTGCAATGGGAAACACAACAGTGATGCAACTGGTTGTATCTTGGTTCGTCACGACTGGCACGTTTGATTTCAAAGTGCTCATTTAAGATCGACCTTGTACTAGGCGTGATATACTTTCAATGGTCAGTTCCGTTCATTACCCGCTGGGAAGGGCAGCTCCATTTACTCTTCCAGGGATGCTTTTTCATCAGGACTTGGATCCAAAGGGCTTAGAATGGGATGACGAAATTTTAGAGAATCCCTTGATCCCCAAATGAACATGGATTGAAATGGAAGTCTTTGCGCCTTCGGATCTTCCGTGGAACACCTCTACTGTTGGAAAAGAGGCTCACACTCTACAATGTAAATAAGATTGTTTTTTGACTAATTCAAAAATTGAAACATCTAAACTGTAATTCAGAAACATGCTATGGGAAGGCAAAGTGTGACGCGTGTTGAGACATTTAAATTTTGGAAGCTCGCGCGAGATAACGTGTTAGACTATGGGTTATGTGAGAATCCGTTTTAATTTGCTTTCTCTCTCCTTTCTAGGGTCGCACATTTTAGTGATTTTGTGTGTGCAAGGTAATTCATGCATGATTTATTCGCGGAGTTTTTAATTTGAATTTCATGCTGCTTACGAACAATAAGAGAGAATCGAAGGGTAAAGTGAAATTCTCTTTTTCCCTTTGTTTCCTTTTTCTTTCTTGGCAATTCTCATAAAATTTAAACAATAATGAATAATATGTTATGCTCGTCACTGTCAAATCACGATAGTTTGCTCAACCTTACCGAATAACTGTCAAGAAGTCTCACAAGCCGAAGATATACTCGGTGAATTAATTCGCCGATCATTGCAAAATTGATTGCCAGAGACAGTGGTCGATATCTGACATGCCACATATCGGTGACTTCCCGCGCTTCAGGCAGTTTGGTTGATTTTACTTTGAGTTCTCATCTTCAAGGCATTTGCCGTCCATCTTATTTGCCGTTGTGATTACTTTGGTTTCGTTTATGATATTTTGTTGAAAAGCGTTATATCTTGTAATTCATCGAGATTTACCGATCATTCTCCACTTATTGAGATAAAATGTATCAAAATGTTCGTGCGGGAGGATTGTTGATTGTTGCCATGATGTTCAGTTTGCAAGACGCCTAATGCAAAGCCCTGACTGAGGATATTTCCTACCGTCGTTTACCTTTGTCTATATTAAAAGTTATATATTTATTTAGAAGTTTTCAATTTTTTAAAGTTAAAGGATACATTTTCTTAACTGTTACGTTTGTTTCATTAACATTAACCTAAAAAAGGTTATCCTGAATCTAATTCTAGAAAGCCATCTTGTCGACATTTTTACCAGACATCTAGAGCTTAGGTTTTTGCCTCAAAAACATCTTATTTCCTTTTCACTCGAAGTCGCACGAATCAGCACATTGCGGATGATTGCATCATTGCATGATGGGAACAAAAACTGCTCGTTAGACACAAATCTTACATTCTACTGAAACTCGAGACTCGTTTAGAGATTGAGCTAAGTGTTGAAAGAGTAGCGTTAAAACTGTAGCAATAGGTTGAGACTTCAAAAGCAAAACCAATGAAGCTAGTTTACCTTTTGACAAGTGGTAATGACATACGAATTAAGAAAACGGAGAGGTGGATCAAATGAATGATTCTGATTTCCTTTCCATTTTCAACTTTGAGTTAAATCAGGGTGATCCAATTTCGAATTGCTTAGGTGTCGAGTTGCTCAGGGTAAAATCGTGTAGGCAAGAGTTCAAGAAGGGTCCAATTACCCAAGGTAATTGGGTTGTGGTAGTTCTTCTCTGTGGCAGGCCTACAGTAGGACTTTGCCGACGTTCTCTTTTCATGATCAACGCAAAACGAAAATTTCATTAATTCTTGAAATGCTTGAAATGTTTGACGTTTTCCGTATCTCTAAGCAATATATGAGTTGTCAGTAATCGGATCCTTGTGTTTGCGCCAGGTTGTTTTGACGCGAAAATACACGATTTTGGTGAGAAATCATCGTTTTTTCGCCGCCAGTCTATAACAGATGGATTAACTTGCGTATGGCTTATTGTGAAATTGACATCGCGCTATGGTCTCAACATATCTCACGATGACGTTTAAACTTTACTGGAACTATTTGAAATAGTAACTGCCAACGACACACAACAGAACTGAATTCACGGGCTGAGTGCTTACCTTAAAGGCTGAGACGCGGATCTTAGGTGCCGTGCACATTTAAAGATCGAAGATGACGCGAATACTACCGAAGATTTTTGGAAAATTCTTGAGGAAATTCTTGATGATAACTGGCCGACTTCGGGACTTTAGACCCTCATTTGCAATCGTACGTACCTGGAACTAGAAGTGTACAGGAAACCATGCCAAGGGCAAGGTCAGCGCACGAATAAAAGATAACTCTTTCTTTCCTTATAAAATAGTTACATCAATCAAAACCTCGTTGCTGAGCGAAACTTGGAACTTCGCACCAATCACATCCGCTTTGCTGGGGAAAAACTGGGCACTTCCCACCACGCAAAATCGCATAGTAATTCTCGGGAATTCCTCAGGGACTTCGGGTTGTTCACAGCACCTTCGGCGTTTCAGTCTTTCTTTGGGTAGGCATTCAGTTCTGCAATCCGCTATAGATCACTGAAATTCATTTTATCTCGGTTTTACTTAGGATGCCACTTTAGGCTTATGCGCGGTGTAGATCATTGTCCTACTGACAACTACTATTTTAGATCTTTTTAGCTGGCTCGATCCTTCCAAGAGCTCATCCCGCTCCAGCAACATTTCAAAAAAGACAACGAAGCGAGAGGCAAATCGGATCTGGTACATTGTGACATGATGGATTATCTGACGAAAGATGTCAAGGCTGTAGTTGGAACTGAGGCACCTCACAAATATGTATTGAGTGTTAGGTTTTGTTTAAGAGTTGGACTATGTACTTCATTAATGGTTATTATTAACTGTTACATTGAGAACTCAAGTTGCGCTATTCAAAGATTAATGTAAAGATCCTCGTTAATTATACTTGTAGATTTCATGTTATTTTAAGTTAATTAAACAAAGTTGTGGGTTACAGAATTTGATTAAACAGACAAAAACCATTAGGTTAGATTTGCAATTCATGTTAGCACTGATAACGAAATCAGTTGCCTTCAAATTTTCCTACTGTAATCGAAAGTTACACGGTAGCTTTCAATGCCAATGTAGGAGTTCTGATCAAAATTGGTTGCTCAGTGGAGACATGAACAAATGCCCCAATCTTTGGACTTTTTCAAAACCAGGTTAAGTTCCTTTTATTCTAGGGCGAGGATAGGAAAGAAATGAAATGGACAAGTTTCAATGTTCCTGAAGTCTGATAGATATAGAATATAACCCAGTGGATTTAATTTACAGATGGCATCTATGTCTGTCACAGTAAATGTATTTTCCGCTGTTATGAAGTTGATGCAGTTCGTTAGCACTTTATGTTTTTTCGTTTTTGTTGGAACACGCCGTTAGGGCGTGTCTCCAGGGGTTTTTGTGATAAGTTGATGTGTAGTATTTTAGGCTTCAAAGAGTTGACAGATTCCTCTCGCTCGCGCTCTCCATCCTGGCGTTTACTTCTTTTGATGCTAGGATACTGCTATGAATTCTACAGAAGAAAGTGGTTCCGTTCCTTCTGTCGTTGAAGCCGATGTTGTTTCGCAGAACCCTTCTTCAAATTCACAGTTGGTGGATGAGGTTTTCTCTCTTTTTAAAGGCTACTTGACCTCCCAATTGGGAGAGAAAGGGAAGCAGTTTGAGCGAAGCTCTAAGTCCGATAACGAAGCTGCAGACATTAAGTTCAAAGGTAACCGAAAGCAGTTTGAGTTGAATTCGCAACTGGACAACATATTAACACGAATCGACGAGAGTGCTAGTAGCCCAGCTGATGTTCACAAGTTGGTTGAAGAAGGAAAACTGCTCATCAAAAAGCGTCAGAAGTTGATCAAAATCGCCGACAAGAACAAAGATGGCTGGCTTGTTGTCCAAGAATACGAGTCCGACGATCTCGCTTCAGACTCCGAAGATGAGAAGAAGATACGTAAAGCCAAGGCTGCTGCTGAGAAGAAGAGAAAAGAAACGAAGAGTATCAGCGGTAACACTTCGAAAAAATTTAAGTCTTCTAGTGACTATCAGCTTTTTCGCGGTAAGACCTCTACTTATTTTTACTTTGTGAAGTTCTGGGTCCTTTTGGTTGGACTGCCTGAGCATCCAACCATCAATTTGTTGTATTTGCTCATCCATTTATTTAAGAGGAAAATAATTTACGTTCGTTTGAGCGTAGCGAATTAGAACGTAAATGTATTTTCCGCTGGTATGAAGTTGATGCAGTTAGTCAGCACTTTATATTTTTTCGTTTTTGTTGGAACCCCCCCCCCCCGCTCTGTAGCGGAGTGGATTTCTTCGTACAAAACTTGGAGGGCTAAAATTGCCTGGTTGTTCCCCCTGTGAGCCTTATTGCTAGAGCTATTCATTACCTGCACGTTTCCAGGGCTGTTGCCACTTTAGTTGTGCCCTTTTGGCCGTCTTCATATTTCTGGCCTATTATTTCTAGAAAATTTTCTAGATTTGTGGTGGATAATAAGTGTTTTGAAGCTACTGCTTTAGAGCAAGGGCGGAATATAAATTCGTTTTTGGGTAGTGACAGGTTCACTGGTTTCATCCTAGCCGTTCGTATGAAGTTTCTTAAGTTTCTATGGCTTTATTTACATGGGATGTTTAACCATTAAAATTTCAGTGGATAAAAGGCGCAGGCCTGGGCCGATATTATTACCATGTTTTGTAGTTAAGAGGTACTGGCCTTGGTTGATATTGTTACAATATCTTTGTAGATAAGAGGCACTGCCCTGAGTCGATATTATTACCATGTTTTGTAGTTAAGAGGCACTGGCCCGAGTTGGTATTATTACAATGTAGCTACAACGCAGCTCTTAAGTGGTTTCACTTGTTCGGTTTAAGTAACGGCGCTAATCCACTGGATAGTTCGATCTGTCATAATTTACTGGAGGCTGTTAGACGTAATAAGCCAGTTACTGTTAAAAAGGCGCCTATCTCCGCTGAAATTATTAAGGATATTATTGATAAGTTCGCTGGATCTTCTGCTAATCTTAAGGACATACGAGTTGCTTGTATCTGCTCGTTAGGCTTCGCGGGGTTTTTTCGTTATGATGAGCTTAGTAACATTGTGCCCATGCATCTTGAATTTTTTCCTGATCATCTTAGAGTGTTTGTTCCCAGGGCTAAAAATGACATTTATCGTGAAGGTAATTATGTCTATATTAAGAGGTTAGCTAAAAAGTATTGCCCTGTTGCACTTTTAGAAAGGTATATTTCCATGTGTAACATTGAACTTTCAAGTTCAGTTGCTCTCTTCCTTCCGTTGTTGGACTGCCTGAGCATCCAACCATCAATTTGTTGTATTTGTTCATCTATTTATTTAAGAGGAAAATAATTTACGTTCGTTTGAGCGTAGCGAATTAGAACGTAACTTATATTTCATTGTGCAAAAAATACAGGAAATGGGTGTTTTCCCAAGGGAATCCCATATTGATATAGATTTGAGCTTTATCAACCCACCCGATTCCGCCTGGTTTTTCTCGTGCACGTTGAGAAATTTTTCAGTATAAAGCTGGGAAAAAGAGCAATCAATAAAAAACAGAGCTACATCAAATTTGTTCAACAATAACAATTACATTATAATGGAAAATAATCTTAAAATTGTGACAATGGCGTGGTGTGCAAATTCATTTTTGAGAATGCAAAGTTTTCAGATTTATAATGGCAGAGTATTAGAATTGAAATGTTACTTTGAAGAAACTTTGGAGGGACGTGCTGCAATAATACAAAGTTTTTGGAATAAAAATGAAGTGAGTAGCAGAAAATTGATTAAAAATTTGACAAAGAATTAAGAAAATCTGGCTTTTAAATTCAATAAAGTTAAAAAGAGCTACATTATATGTTACATTAGGAAATATTATAGACATGGAAATAATCCTAAAATGATAACCATGACGTGCTGAAGTAATTCAAGACAGATACGGTTTGGAAGCTTACTTTTCAAAGATTGTCAGTATAAGAGAAGAAGGACTTGATGCACAACATGGTAACCAAATCCAACAGAATCAGCTGCATGTCAATGCACAAATCAACCCAGCTAGACTGAAAAAAAAAACAAACAAAAAAACATTATTCACGACAACTCCTCTCAATCACGTGCACAAGGGTCACCGTTCCTACTTCACCATTTTAAAGATGGCAGCAGGTAGCTCGACCATTATCCTGCCTCTCCCCGCCAAATTAGCCATTTGACCAGATTACCTCGACTAACACGACTGAATTGGCCGCCTCGGTCAACGCAGTCGACAGAACTGTCTCATCCAACACGTTTGACGGAACTGCTAAAACACTTCTAAAGCTAGTAGAGCTCATCACCAGAAATCACGGACATTTTGTGCCGGTGTCACAGCAGATTTGGACCCCCCGCGGATTTGGACTCTCCCGTCCATATCCGCTAGCGGATATGGATCCCCCTTCGCAGATTTGGACCCCCTCTACCAAACTTTCCTTTTGAGCATCGTTTTTAGTAACTAATTCTATTTGCAAGCTTATTGTCGATGTTCTTTTCAATCACAACACAACATTCCTCAATAAAGGTACAGAAAAACAGCCATTTCGTTCCAATTCTGCCGCATTTATTATAGCGAGTCGTACAGGATACGCAAGAATTAGATGCGAAAAAATTACTACATTCGAACTATTGAAATTGTTACAATAGATCTTTGCTTCTTCTGATGCGAATTAACATTGATACGAAACGTCATGACAACAGTGGAGACTATTGCGTCCAGTCACAAAAATAACTCAGTCTGACGTTCTAAAATAAAAACCCTCTTATTGAATCTAGCGGCGTTCGGCTTCGCGGAAAAGGTTCAGAAACGACTTTTTTCCAAACATTAAGCTAAATACTTGCCCATTTTCCCTCGGTCGAAAGAAACATCCGACGGGTCACGAATGTTTTGAATTAAAAATATACTTTAGTACACACTGGTACGTAAAGTATCATCTATTTTTACTAGAACGATAAGGATGATGTTTTCACTCAGTTTTGTTGCGCCGGGGAGGGGGGGGTCCATATGTCTACGTCCTAACAAAAGTGGAGACTATTACATCGAACTCAGTGTTACTTTCTAATTACTTTCTAACTTTAACGGAAAGGTGAAAAACTGTTTTCGAAGCGGAAAAGTGGCAAAGTAAGTACTCGATGCCTGTTTTGAAGGTGCTGTTCCAAGGCTTTTTTTTAGCCGACCGTTTCACTTCTTAATTATTTTCTCATAGGAGATAGAGTACCCTATCAAGTGGAAAGGATGGCCCATGTCATCATGTACCTGGGAGCCTGCCCTCCATCTATCTAAAGAGCTTATCCAGTAAGATGAATTATTACCGCAACAACATAATTTTTCAGTTCATGCCAAAATGTAAAGAAAGCTTTAAAAAGTTGAAGTTAATATAGTTCCTTTAGAACAAGACAGGCTTTTTAGTTGATCTCCAATATTTAAAACACCTTGTTTCTTGCGAATAAAACATATTAAAGTTCACAGGGCAACCAGGTGGACAATCAGACATGGTTTGATGCTACTCTGGTTTGCAGATTAATGAATGTAACCGAAGAAGTTACAATTCATAGGCACTAGGCAGGAGTGTCGAAACGTTGGGTCTATGAATTGTAACTTCTTCGGTTACATTCATTAATCTACAAACCAGAGTAGCATCAAACCATGTCTCACCTTGCTTCTTATTATAAGAATAATAAACATATGCTTAAAAATTTAGTTAATTTGTTAAGATCGTTTTAAACGATTTGTTTTTGTCCTAATAGATCTGTTTTCTGAATCTCTTCTAGACTTTATTAAAAGCTCCCACAGCCCTCAGAAAGTGAAATTGCTTCAGTATTTAATGGCTTTTATCTGGTAGTCAAGTAGCTTGAAAATCAAATGCTGTCAAAGTGCAGCACACTTGCAAAGTTAACATACAGCATGATGTCTATCGATATTTTTTTAACTACAAAGCAATAACGTCAAGGGATTCTAAATACACCATGCTCAGCTTAGAGGATTCTAACAAGTTGTCTCTACCCTATTATTGGTGGTATATATTTGGACTCTTATGGCCAGGGAAAGGCCAATGATTTTCCTTTAAAGATGAAAGCTTGCCTTGGAAACTCACCAAAGCATTTCGTTGCGCAAGCAGGGAAACTTCTTCAAGCACCAAAAATGCCCCTTGAGATGGTATCTCTCACAACTAATAGTAAAGCATGCAGTGAAGAATATTTACCAACTTAACTTTTACCTAATTAATAATTTTTGTAACACCAACAATGCATTGATATTTGGTTGATAGAGGTACTTTTAAAGAAGGATATACAGTTTTTACATTTGAATGTATTTAAGACATAGTATAACATGCTTGTCATCAATAACATTAAATTATGTTTTATATGAAACTGAATGTGCTTAGAGGTGCTTTTAAGTTACCATTTTGATTGATATTTATTTCCCCTGGTTTTCAGCTTTTGAAAGGTAGCAGAATTTCAAGTGAATACAAGTCAAAGAGATATAAAAGTCAAGCCAAATAGAAGTTGTGCAGCAATGCCTCTCCTGTTGTTAGTGAAGGAGAGAAATAATTTGAGTTTTGTTCATTTTGCAGAGTCCTTTCTTCCTCTCTATTTCTTTGCAAATCCCTCATTTCATATATCAGCTTTTGCATTTCTGCCTCTAGATCATTCAAATTTTCCTTTCAGTTTGAAAGCTCATCTCTTGTGAGATGGTCCCTTTCCACTTCCTCAATAGACACTAGTTCATTATATAGAATACTTAAAGTGAGATATTTTGATTAAAGCTGTTCCCTTTTTCTTGCTCTAGTTTGCCCATATTTGCTTGCCACAACTCTTGCTTCTCTTTCTAGCCTGCCTTGGATAGGGTAGCCTGTCTCTCAACTAACTCTAAACCATGATCTGGAAACTGTGGCATTGAGAAAGTCAATATAATCAAATCCATCCTGAACATTTTCATGCCATATCTTTAGTAATAGGTATGGTATATTTACTGCCTGTTTTATATATGATAAAGTTGGATCTGGGACAAAGATTC